TGTTAGTCTCTCAGTCTGATCCTCAGTCAGTCACTGTGTTAGTCTCTCAGTCTGATCCTCAGTCAGTCACTGTGTTAGTCTGTCAGGCTCTCAGTCTGATCCTCAGTTAGTCACTGTGTTAATCTATAATTGTCTCAATCTGACCCTCAGTCAGTCACTCTATTTGACAGTAAGTCAAATTGTTTGTCAGCCTTCCGTATTCCAGAAAGTATGTTATACAATGAGAGTCATTGTATCCTTTACTGAATGATTCAATCGATGTGTCATTTGACTTTCCAGGGGGTCAAACTGTCACTCAGTGTGTCAGTCATTGTTATACATTGTATTAGTCTGGCGGTATCGGTCTATTAGTCTGTCAGTTATCCAGCGAGCGTGTTTGTAAATGTCATTCAGTCAGTCTCTGTCATTTAAGTTCTCCTGCCTGTCTGTCAGAATGAAAAGCATAGTTTGTAAAAGGCTAACAAAACATTCATTTGAATTGAAATGTGAATGCAGTGAGTCATCTATTAAAGAGATAGCTTTAGTTAATAAAGTAATAACATATTAGATATTGAAACTGACCATTCGCTGTCCTCTTCGCCCACTGCAATCCGGTCCTGTAACGAAGGACGAGGATCAGAGAGATTAATACAATGCACAGAATGACAGCAGACATGGAGATCGATTTCCACCAGGTATCTGAGAGAGAAAGAAACAGGGAGGAAGAAATTAATTCAAACACTGAAGTAGACCCTAGAGACACATTCTGTATAATGCAGACAGATCAATGCAGTTCCTAATAACCCCAGAGACACTCCTCACACACAGAGATTAATACAGACCCTAATATAGACCCAAGAGACACTCCTCACACACAGAGATTAATACAGACCCTAATATAGACCCAAGAGACACTCCTCACACACAGAGGTTAATACAGACCCTAATATAGACCCTAGAGACACTCCTCACACACACAGATTAATACAGACCCTAATATAGACCCTAAAAAGGCAAATGTAGGTGTATTCGTACCCTAACAATGCAACTGTAATTTCTATTTCTATTACTTCTGCAGCTGGTTCTTCTACCACTAGCTTAGCAACCAGTACAGCGCTACTAGTTCCTACTAGTACCTCAAGCACTTCTCCTGCTGGTACAACGAACACAACTATGGTGATTACTACTAGTTCTGCAGTTTACAATACTGCATGTTCATGTATTACAACAAATCATAATACAATACTCTTACTTGAATTGCCACCAGTGCTGCAACTTACACTTTTGCCACTCTGCCTGCTCATATTGCTATTATAGTTGCAGTAGTACTGCTTCTATTAATTTCAAGTTCTTTTTCCAACTGGTTTTTATTACAACTGGTCCTTCTTATTCCTTCTATAATGCTTTTACCCTTCTATTATTATCCATCCATCCATTGTCTAACTGTTTTATCCAGGCAGGGTACACCATGGACAAGACGCCAGTTCATCCCAGGACACACACAGGCACAAACACCGTTTTTTTTATCTTGGAGTTGCTTCTCTTCCTGATGTCACCACAAGAGCTAAAATTACTGTTGCTAGCTACTGTAATTTCTACACCGCTGACAAATCAATCAGGAGTTCAGTGGGCTGGCCAGCGTATTGATCAGCATTGTGGATCAGCAGTTTACCTGAGCTGCGCAAGGATGTTAGGCCAGTGGTGGTGGTGTTGTTGGAGGAAGAGGCGACTGTAGCTGTAAAACACACACATCAGGGCGCACTGTTAATTGTTAACAGGGCGTTAACAAGGCACGCCAGTTATACCGCAGCACACCGATAAATTGGAACAAAGGCATACTGGCAATAATGCACAAAACCGATACACAACACAGACGATCAACACACAACACAGACGATCAGGACACAGTGCTGCCATATGCAAAAAAACAAAACATGATGAACTTGTAAAAGAGACTGGTGCACACTGTGTCGTCCAGTCTCTGCCTGTCGGGTGCTACTGACAGGGCGTTCACATACTGTACACAGAAGTGACAGACATGGTAATCAATATAGTCCTCAGGCACAACAAAATGAAATACTTTGTAACACACTCAGTACATGTACATGTAGCCTCACATTATTATAAAGAGCATTGAAATGCACAGAGGACTCAAACGCAGTATTGACAAGAGTACTGAAATGCATACCGCACTGAGGAGTATTGGAATGCACATAGAGCGCTGTGCAATACCTGTTTTTGCAGTAGCACTGTTCACAGAGGCGGTCTTCTGCTCAATACATCTTGAGCAGCTGTTGTCTTGACACTCGTACCCAGGCTTACAGGTGCACACTGAGTTCTTGATCCTAGTGCACAGTGACTGATACATAAAGTCTGCAGCATCAACAAACAAAACACTGGCATTACACTCCTGAAATGGACAGCTGGGCAGCATTTTAAGTATGTACTAAGCAGTGTGTGTATCTACACTAGACTATGTGTCTGTAGAGTCCACTATACTGTATCTGTGTTACGTTGCAGTGTCCTGTGGGTTATATGTCATGTCATGTCATTTAGCCAAAGCGCTTTATACCATACGGTGTCGCAGGAAGCCAGAGCCTACCCAGCAAACAACGAGCGCAGTGCGGGGTACACCCTGGATTGGACGCCAGTCCATCGCAGGGCAAGTCCAAGCCAGTCATACATGGGGACAGTTTGGAGGCCATGGTAAAGGCCGAGGGGGGACATTTGGCCCTGACCCCAGGATAACTCCCTACTCTCTCAAGAAACACCCAGGGATCTTTAATGACCACAGAGAGTCAGGACCTCAGTTTAACGTCTCATCCGAAAGACGGTGCCCTCTACAGCATAGTGTCCCCACCACTATACTGGGGCATTAAGACCCACACAGACCGCAGGGTAATCCCCCCCCAGCTGGTCCCAGTAACACCTCTTCCAGCAGCAACCATAGCTTCCCAGGAGGTGTCCCATCCAGGTACTGACCCGGCTCAACCCTGCTGAGCTTCAGTGGGTAGCCAGTTGAGAGCTGCAGGGTGACTGTGGGTTATATATTGTGAGTAATGTGTAGATTGTCTGTCTGTGTACCAAGGGCTCACTGAAGGTCAATGAGAAATACGCAGACTCACCCCACTCAGAGTGAGGGGCTCAGGAGCTTATTATGACAGGAGGCAGAATGGGAGGGACAGTCCCCAAGACAGAAAGTACATATTGACATGCAGAGAAACAGACTGAGTGTTGGAGAGACAGAAAACCTGCAGTATAAAGACAGAAAGAGAGTTGGACAGAGTGATGCATCCAGAGATTTCATTGATGATATGTATTGTCTTGTTAAAGGGAAACTGCAGTTTCAATTTTTCAGACCAGTTATTACATCTTGGTAACCAAATAAATTAATGGATGGGAACAATTTGACCAATTTCGAATTAAGCACTAAATTGCAAACTTTTTCAAAAGTACTGTATCGACGCCATGCTGTCAAGAGTTCCCAAGAATTGTGACGAATTGTGACGCGGCCCTTCCTGCTCACTAGTCCCTGTAATGGCCTGATGTCATGTGATGGGCGAGCGGAGAAGTACAGGTTGTGCAGCAGACATTTCACTGCAGAAATCTGTCAATGTGATCTGTATGCAGGGGCAGCAAGTAAGTTCCATTGATTCAAAAAATGTTCTCATTGAAGAGATGCATTCACAAGCATGCTTCACCTCACCAAAGGTTTTGTTGCCTCGTTCCGAATTGCAGAACACAGTGGCGCTGCACAGACCTGGAAGTTTAGTCTCTTTTGTGATGTAAACTGGAGGTTTTACAAGTTACTGTGTACATTTTACTTGTATTGTGGTTTGGAATGCACACATCGATGCTGGATCTTTCTAACCGTGAGATATATAAATAGCAGTTCCCCTTTAACTAAAGAAAGATAGAAGGAGAGCCATTGACAGAGAGGCTAAAAAAAGAAAAGAAAAAGATTGGGCTCAGTGAGCCTGGACATAGAAACTGGACACAGGCAGAGCTTGTTGTCCAGAGAGGACAGGCTCAGTGACCACAGCTTGGACATAGAAACTGGACACAGGCAGACCTGGCTGTCCAGTGAGGACAGGCTGGGAGAAGCAGAGACAGAGATGCACTTTCTGCTGCAATGTGAAAAATGCCCTGGGACCTTATAAAACTTCTTCCCTAACATAACAAATCTAATCCACAACTCCCACAGCTTCCAATCCTACTGGGGGCGGGAACTTGATAGAGCTGTACCCCAGCCTGTGATCTGCTGTCATAGCCTGTGGAACAGACTTTGAGACCATAACCCATAAGGCGACATTGTTCTAAATGTCTTGCTAATTATCGCTTTGGCAGCCCTATAATGTTTTGGTCACGACAGTCTAGGTTTTGAAGCTGAATTTTGAAATCGCCTTTGAAACCTCATTTTTCAAAGAGAGAGAAAGTAAAAGAGGGCGACAGAGAGATGGACCGACACAGAGAGTCAATCTTTTCGTTCTGAAACAAGCTCGTTTCCGTGACGGGTGTATGGAAATGTCATATTACCTCGTTATGAGTAATTTGTCATCTCTCATTCTGTTAATGTTGCAGCCTCAGCTCCTGATGTTTTTAACTAGCGCTTGACTCATAATTTCCAATTTGCTATATCTCGTTATGATTGGTTTTTAATTTGAAAGATACACAGATAATTAAATATCTGAATTGCCATCTAAAAACCAAGATATTTCTCCATACACATATAATAATTTGATGTTTTGTAACTAAAATTAGCAGTTTCTTTTTTAAATTTGCAATCTGCATGAATGTGACATTATGTCTGAATTTCTCTAAGTTCTCCCTTACTGTGTCTCCTTCCTGTGTTTATTACTTAGTGATTCTCAGTCTTCTTTCTCAAATTCATATACAGAGAGATTTATTGGAAGAATGATATCATGTTATTGTGTGAGAATCTCACTGTCTGTTCCTCAGGCTGGGACAGGAGATCACACACTGTATTATTACTATTGAGACATGCTCACTTTCTGTTCCTCAGGCTGGGACAGGAGATCACACACTGTATTATTATTATTGAGAGACAGGCTCACTGTCTGTTCCTCAGGCTGGGAC